TTGTCAGCAGGTTTAACTACTTGGCCGATCTTTGGGGCAAATTGATCTTTCTTTTCATGAAAATCCACTGGCCCGACATCCACGTACGAATCAGGTAAAGAGGAGAGAACTTTCGATTTTGGTAAATCTTCAGTGATGAGAACCTTATTTCTTTCAATCCCTTATTTCTTTCAAAACCCCACCCGGTTGGGTGCTGTGTCATTGTTATTGCAGTACCATGAAATGAGCTTTTTGCTGTTCTTGAACTTGGGTCATGGTCAATATTGTCCACATTTCCAGTTGTAAATAATGATTCTCTTAGCTTAGGTGGACAAACGACCCCTTCTTGTGAGTACCTGGTACATACAGCATTCCCAAGATCAGTAGACACCTGCATCACTCGGTCATAAGACACGGAAAGTCCTAGCCTGTAAAACCTGTCAACAATCTGTTTTTTCCTTGTTTCAGCGTGTATGACAGATCCAATGTAAAGTGGTAACGGCGTTTCCTGTTTTACACTATGTCTGGGTGATGCCTTGTTTTCTCTTTTGCRATTGGTTGCATTGAAAATAAGAAGTTGTGAGATGGTTAGTGCTGCTGAGCTTGTAYTCTTATCTTCMTCCTCGTCTTTTTCTGTCTTGATAMTGGGTCCTTCTAAAATCATAGTGACTAAAGCAAGAAGACTACTTGGGACTGATCTAAGTTGACAGTTATGCTCAAATGACCCATTAAATTGTGGTTGAGCCTTAAAGAGGTCACGTCTTAATATGGATGCTGTCCTTGCTAGATGTATTGCTTCTGAATCAAAGTTCATGCTGCTTGCTAGCTTCACTGCAGCATTTATATTGTGATCAAATGTAMGTTKAACTGCTTTGCCATCATTGTGTGCTTTCAAGTTAGGAATCAATGATAAAATACGCTCTTTAAGTCTAGTTGAGTTGATTCGCTCTGGGGTATCTGTTCCTAGCTCTTTCAATCTATCCGAGTACAACTTTGTAAGTTTTGAAAGCAAGAATGTTCCTTTCTCTTCATTTTCCTCTATGAAGGATACTAGCTCTGCTAATGCTATTGATTCTAACGAAAGAGACGCACTATCATCACCACTTGTAGATTTCAATGCACGGACTTTATTGTACAAAGCAGTCAAACAGGATGCGTGATATACAGCATCCATGGCATGCAGGTCACCTCCACAAGCGAGTTTTGCTTTAGACGCCAAGTATAATTCTAGTTTTAGATCGAGTTGTAGCGCACTCGGTATTCATTATAAACGCATATTAGTGCCTTTAGACACCTTAGATTTTCAAGTTCGGTGATTGCATCTTATACTGATCGTGTATTAGACTCGATATAATTTGTTTTGATTTTAGTGTTCACAATTTTGTTCTTAATTTTCCTACAGATACGACGAACAACTTAAGTAGCATCGACCAAATTAGAAAGCAGTTTATCCAACTAGCTTTTGCACAGACTACACAGGCCAATATGTTGTCACATCGCAAGTCCTTTCTTACTTTTTGTAGTATTCATCAT